AATCATTGATTTTTTGTCTTTTGACACATTTTAGAGAAGAAAGAATTATTTCATTTAAAAAGAATTATAATAAAGAATTATTTCATATAAAAAATTAACAAATTGTTTTTTGATAATTTTAAGACATTTTTCATTGTTATTCAAGTGAACTACTATCATTAAATGTTGATTTTTTAGCTTCGTCATTCTGGTGACGTCATGAATTACTTACGACGTTTCGTTCTTCTGGAACCGTCATCAACTATTGTGATTTTTTTTATTAAAGTATAATGAACAAATTTTAATATATATTTTTTCTTTTATTATAGGTTTAATTAAATTTGTCGAATCTGGTGGTAAAGATGGCGGAGACGCCGACGTACCGGACGAGCTACAGACTGACGAACATGCGAAGGATGAACTCTAAAAAATTGATTTAGAGTTATTTATATTGAGATTTGTCTCCGATTTATTTATTACTTAAGATTTAGGTTAACTTAAAATGCGGAAATTTTGTAAAAAAACTCATTCGGTGCCCCGTATATTTGTACAATTAAAAGAAAGTCATCTTAACTTAGATTTATTTAACTTATCCCTGTATGAAAATCAAGGCAAATGAGAATGCTCCTAATTTTAATGTCTCCTGTCTCCTCTCTTTTTTTTAGTGAGTAAATTAAGTTATTCTTATAAAAAATTCGTTTTTTTTGTTAGGGCTAAGTCGTTTATTTGTGTTGTGTTTTTTTTTTCGTTTGAAATCTCGAAACGTCAGTATTGCGATTTTGAAGAGTTTTTTATACGTACCTTTGTAAAAACGAAACGGCACAAAAAGCAGATTTTTTGTAAATAACAGTTATCAATCAAAAGAAAAATGAATGTTTTTTATTATGGATATGTTGTATGCATTGGAAAATAAATTTAAAATTACCAAATTGTTGTTTTTTTAATGATCTTTGTATTGCATATCTAAAATCTATTTTAGTTGATAATTTTAAGACATTTTTTATTGTAGTACAAATGAACTACTTCATATTAAGAGTTGATTGTTTTTGACTTTTGGAGGAAATATTTTGAAATTTCATGTAGTTTGATAATTTTAAGGCACTTTTCATTGTGTACTTCGTAGTTGTTGCCAGTTTGTATGTTTTATTTAAATTTTAATCAAAGATGCAACCTCATGGAAGTGGCTCTGAAGCTATATGGATTGGGATAGGTAAGTTCAGAATCGTCATTTGATTTTTTACGGCTGTGTTGCCAAGTCCTGAAACTAATCCCTAAATCAATATTTTTGTAGATATAAAACGAATTGAACCGGGACAAAAATAATGATAAATCTAATAAATAAACACATAAAACATAAACATTATTTCAGTAGAATTAGAATAAATAATATATTTTTTAGACACAGACCAATTTTAATTTTTTGTCTATAGCCAAAAAAGAGGTTATTTTTTTAGAGATACTACAACGTTGACAGTGCGATATTTTCCATTGTTAGCAACATGTCCTTATGTAACATCGCTCTTACAATTTTTCTGCTTTTTTAATAGAAAACGTGATTTTTCTGTACACTATATGAGTGTTTTCTGTTCCGTAAGGCTTCTCTAATCTCTTGATAATGTGAGTACCCATTATTTTGCATGTTTTCTAGAGTTTTCTTTACTAAGTATTTCAATTACATCGTCATTAAAAGCTGATATGTTTTTCTCCTTTTTTATATTTTTCTTTTTCAAAATCGAGTGTATGGGAATATACCGTATGATCGAAAAAAAAAACGGCGTCCAGTTGGCTGGGAAATGACGATCGATGACATTATTCATATAAAATGACAGCGATCTTCATTTCATAGCGATCGCTGACGCCGTTTTTTTTCGATCATAGGTAGATACTTTCCTGATAACATTATCCTACTGTACATTAAAAATATAGTTACATTAGAGTAATTCACCATATTTAGAGATATTCTGAATTTTTTGAACATATAGTTTTCTTTTTTAGGAATGTTATTAATATTAAATACGCACCAAGTATCTAAAGACCACCTTAAAAGGTGTTTGGCCACCATTTTGGTTTATGAGATTGGTTTCTCTATTATAAGTAATTTTTTATTTAAAAACATTTTTAATAAATTTATGAATTGTTTATTTACAGACTAACCATATTTTTTAAGATATATTTAATATTATTATGCAAACAACAGAAAATAAACTCAATTATTGTGTTAATACATTTGTCTTCTAACGATGAATCCGCGACAAAAAGCATTAAACAACTTCTACTATTGGTAAGTTTGGTATTTTATGCTACTATGTATGTATACAGTGAAGAAAATTTTACATTTACTTGTTAAAAAGCGTCCTGTCTATTATATTCAAGTTTTTTTTTTGCGCGTTTAATTGATTACAGCGCCACTTCTATTTAGCGGGAATCTTTAGAACTAACGTTTAACCGGATATGGCGCCATCTTACGGTAAATTTGACAAGTAAGTAAATACAGGTTTCTTCTTTTACTATATATAGGTGGCGCCATCATGGGTTAAATATTTGAACTAGTCATTTATAGATTTCTATAAAAATGAAATACCGCTATTGCCATCTAACGTTAAATAGTTGAACTTCGGTTAAAATTTTCTTGGAATTTTAAAGAAATCTGTAATTTTTAGTTCCCAAAAAGTTTTAAGTGAGAGTCATCTATAAATAAAATTTTATACTAATTTTGATTCTAACCCTAGATAATTTTTTTTTGTATTTATATAAAAGCCAAACACTGCCGTTCTTTAAAAGATCAGCCTTGGGGCGGACTTTTGTTTACTTCATCAGCTGTACATACTTAGATATTGGGTTAGATTCCGTTTCATATTTTGTCGGTTGATTTTTGGTTTTAACTCTATGATTTTTGGTATTATTTATTATTGTAGTGCAAAAAACTAATTATTTTGGTGTTTAAGTGACATAAACTACTACCAGATTTATGGTCACTCTCGGTTACGCATAAAAAATGGAAAAATTGAAAAAAAGTACACGTTGTGTAAGTGATTTAACCTAAAAGTGCCCATACATTTTTTACTCATCGTGATACAACGATGTGTTTTTTAAGACTTTAACAATTCATCAATAAAGCTTAAGTGGAGTGTGTTTTTGGTGCTATGCCTCATCTTTGTTGTGTTCCTGGTGGAAAGGATAGTTATACTAAGCAGCCTAAAGTGTCCGGAAGAGCAAGAAAAGTGGGGTAGTGAAGTTATAAATCAAGAGAATTCTATTTAAAATATCTTTAATAAATTTAAAAATAATATTCTCCCATGATGGTATTAATGAAAACTGGACAATTATGTTTATTTTATTCATATTGTGGAATCTCCACTCCAAGTGTTGTTGGTTCAGCTTCGATAGATTCAAACACGTAAGTAGGTATTATGGTCTAGGGAAAAATAAAGAATATGTGTATTAAAGATCATGAAAAAGATTATCATTTTGAGTTCAAATTTTAAAAAAGATTTTTCTAAAGACAAGACTGATACAGTTTCAAAGAAGAATGTTAGTGTTTTTTTTTTGATAATATATAATGTATGTCAAGCACACATTTGTTCAGTAATTTTTAATGAATAGTGTTGATTATTTATAATACCAAATTAATATCAAATATTTAAGTGATGGCTGAATACAATATGAATAAAATAACAATAAAATTGATATATTTGCATAATACAAAATTAAGTTTTAAAAATAAAGGTGTTACTAAAAATACTAAGAAATTCATATTTCTTTGTTTTTAATTGGTTTAATGTTATTTACATTTTACGTAAGAATTATACCGTATCATCGAAAAAATCGGCGTCTAGTTGGCTTGGAAATGAACATCGATGACATTCCCTAAATAACTGTACACATAAAATAATTAACTAGAATTTTACAACCTTGGAAAATTTGATATTCTTGAACCTTGTTTCTAAATATTCTAAATTTTTTGATTTTCTTGGGATTTAGGTTCGGGAAAAACGCTGATTAAGTTTTCATTTGGTTTTCATTATTTTTATTTGGTTTAAAAAAAAAACGTTTCGGCTAACATTATAGCCTTCATCAGTGTTGTGTCATATGAAAAAATAGTGTCAGAATATTACATATAAAATATTCACTCCACACACACATAATGTTTACTGCGTACTCCATAGTCAATGTAGATAATTTTAGTGTTAAGAATAATAATTTAAAAATATGTGGTCATCTTTTGATAAGTTTATATTAGTTTATTAATTGCAGTAAACATTATGAGGTGTGAATTATATTGTATATGTAATTTTTGGATTATATTCGACACTATTTTTCTCATATGACACAACACTGACGAAGGCTATAGTTGATTTTTAAACCAAATAAAAATAATGAAAACCCAAATGAAAACTTAAATCAGCGTTTTTCCCGAACCTAAAAATCAGAAAAATCAAAAAATTTTAGAATAATTTTACTATAAAATGCCAGCGATCTTCATTTCATACCCATCGCTGACGCCTTTTTTAGATAATATTGTATTATTTGTAAATATAATTTTTCGAACATTGATACTTGCAAAATATACATATAAATTTTGTGAATGCAAATAATAATACATCACTATTAGTAGATATTGAATGTTTTTTGTTAAATTAGATCGATTTTCAAACCCCAAAATTTAAAATATATTTACATTTTACTCATTATCTTATGTACCTATACATTATTTGTACATTGTAAAACATTTGCTGCATTTGTATGGTTCATAGTTTATTTGCCAAAGTATTTATTACTATAAATAGGTATATATGTTGTAGTTATTAACTGTATATTATGTATATTTCATGTAAACTATATCATTTTTAAACTACAAACCAAAAATCTGAGGAATAATTATGTTTTCCATGTATTCTACAACATATTTATTAATCCGTTATATCTAACTAGCGTGACGTCATAAATCTCGCCCGTAGGCTGATCTTTTAATAGAAGGCACTGAGCCAAATAAATATTTATTTTCAGGTTTGTAACAAATTTACTGGTTAGATTAAAGTATACGATCTATATAAAATACTTTATAGCTAATTTTTAATATTATTTATCTACCATTCATGTTTTTAAGTGTAATCTGTGAAGAGAATCAGTATATAGATGTAACATTTTTTCTTACTGATATAGATATGGTAATAATACAGTGATAAGAGCTTCTTATGGAGTTAAGAAAGGAGAATACACCAAGAAAAATGGAAAGAAATGAGGTTTTCTTTTTGAAAGATGTGTACTTGCGTAGAATTTCTTAAGAAAACCTCACCAATTGTATTCTGCTTTTCAATGAACATGTATGCCAAAAAAGAGTCAAGCTGGAGCAACAAGATTGTCGCCTTCAAATTAGTCCTGCAAATACCTCTTCAGAAAATTATACTCTCGATCATTTAAATCCATGGACTCTATGCTGAACCTCCCGAACCTGCTTTTCCTAATGGTTGTTCTACACTGCTAGAAATGTATTATTGTTATGAAGAGATGCAGTGTACAACGTAAAGTTTGATTTTTTCCCATTGTTTCAGTGTGTTTTTTAATTTGTCACAATTTTCAGTAAAGTGAATAGTGAAAAGACGTAAATGAAAAATAATATGCTAGAAAACACACATATCTTTATGCTCTTTGGCTGTATATATATTTTAAAGAAAAATAGTTTTTAACAGAAAAATTTAACGTTGCATGTATTTTTTTTGTATTTATTTTAACTGATATTGTGTTTTTTTTTTAAATCTACCATATTTTAGGTTTTCTATTGATGTATTCACTTTCGTTTTTATTATAAAATATGGAGACAATAGTATCATACATTTAAAAACAAAAATTTGGAAACATACAAGGTGAGTTAAATATATTTTTACTTTAAAATTTAAAGTTGTAGTTTTTAAACAGAATGCTGGTATTTTTTTCTCAGCAGTTTTTTTTACTAACTTTTCTGTTCATTTAATGTTCTAACAAAATTTAAAAATAGCTTTTTTTCTATTGGAAATATTTCCCTCTATTCACTTTTGACTTTAACTTAAAAATATATTTGATTCGCCCTGTATATCTTTGAAAATTATATGATAATAGTTAAAAATGTACGCCACCATTGTCCTGATATTGTAAGAAATATCTGAGTGAAAATATCAAACAAGGACCTTATTAGGAGCGCTCTTTCGCAAAACTGGATCACCCTGTATAAATACTTTTTATTTTTTTCAGAAATATGTGCAAGGTACTGGAAATATGAACGTCCGGTAGACATCAGAAAGAAAATTCTATAGAAGAATCAACGAACAATCGCAGGACTTTATGCTGTATATGTCTAACAATAAATTTATAATTAAATGTGTTAATTGTATTTATAAAGTAGTCTTTTTTTAATAAATCTTATATTAAAGTTGTACTGTAGTTTTCTTTGAATTCTTTAAATAGTCTTTAAATTTAAAGCAAGGTATCTAACATTAAATATTAATGTATTACTGGTTTTCAAAAAATATTTAAAAATAAATGAATATTTGAGTCAAAGAATATTAATAATCCAGTTGCCTTTAATATTAGTAGATTAATTTAATATCATTTACACTTTTTCATAGTCTAGAACCATACGATATTCTATAAAGATTTGATTTCTTTCACCTCAAAACAGCCACGTCCAGCACGAAAAATGAGCATTTTTAAAAATATTTTGATCACCTGAATTAAATAAGAAATCGTTGGCCAACGAGCTCGAACAGTTAGACTCATTTACAAAAACGTTAATTACTCAAAAACTAATTAAGATATCGGGGCGCGCTTGGTGCCATTCGATAGGGAATTCAACCCTCTATCTGTACACAAACTTGCAACCCCCTAGGACAAACTTTATTTTTTTGAGCAAAAATGAGCAAAGGGGTTAAAATTTTTGGCCCAAAAAATAAAGGGTGTCGCAGGGGGTTGCAATTTTGTGTACGGATAGAGGGTTGAATTCCCTATCGAATGGCACTAAGCGCGCTCCGATATCTCTTCTAATTAAAAAGTTATTAGCGTTTTAATTTTGAAAACGAGGTCAAAGTCTTAGAGTCGACAAAATTTAGAGTTTCTCAAAAATTTGTTCGGTGTTGAAAAATTTCGCACGGGCAACCAAACCTGGTGCATTTTTGTCATCAAAAAATTAATTTTGACCAGCAATGAGATATTTTTCAGAACATCATATATTTCTTAACGTGTAGAGTGATTAAACTTTTAGTTTGCAATAATATATATTTTGGGTTGCTGTTTTATTTATTTTTGATTAATTTAATAATAGCTCTAAGACATTATTATTTATTTCTTTTGTTATAGTAAAGGAATTTTGATCTAAATTAAACACATGTTTAATATATTAAAATATTTATTAAAAAATATTAGAATAGGACATAATAACGTTGAATGTTTAAACATATATTAAAAATATTTACCATCAAGTGGCAGGGTAAATAACAGCTATATATAACTATATATTGGCTTTAATAATAAATTCTAATGCTTTTATTTATATTTTATTCTAATTATACACAATAATAAGTTATAAAATATGGATTTTAATCTTAGAAAAAGAGCAGGTATTCAGAACATTTATAAAGATATATGAAGTTGTTTATATACTAGGATAAAGTATGTTTACATGTTTTATATACCGTATGATCGGCTATAAAAAAAACGGCGTCCAGTTGGGAAAACTGCGTTGGCTGGGAAATGACGATCGATGACATTTCCCATATAGATTTACATAGGAAATGACAGCAATCTTCATTTTATAGCTATCGCCGGCGCCGTTTTTTTCGATCATACGGTATTTTTTAAATAATTAAAAGAAATAGAAAAAAAAAACAGCTAAACATATACTCTTAAACTTAGATTTTTTCAAAATTATAAATTATATTTTTAACTCATGTACTAACTAAAATATATCTACAGCTAAAATATAATTTTTATTTATTAACGCATAACATTTTATTAACAATAGTGAATATAAAAAGTATATTAAAATCCAAGATGTTGGCGGACATGCTGATGTCTCTGGACTCTGGATATGTTGAGGTAAATAAATCATCTAGCTGCCCTTCTCTGGAAAGTCTTGATTCTGTAATAAAAACATAAAGAAACAATTAATTATTTGATCACTAACAGGTTTGATTAAAAACTATTCTGTAACTTTAAATCTTACTTTGTTATTTTACAGGGTACATAAAATATTATAAGATATATAGAAAAAGAAAACACATATTATAGTTAAGTTAGTTGTATCTGTAATTGAGAAATATTTTAATTATAATAATTAAAAAAGTTTTAAAACTATATTAAAAAAATTAAACTCCATATAAAATAAAAATAATGTAAATTTTTGATGTATTTTTAGTTGCCTATACCAAAGTAAATAATATGCCAAAATATTTTAGTTCAAATTTATCATTTAAGAAAAGATGACAGACAAAAATTGTATAACATAGATTATCATAGAAGGAGGAGGAGACCCGGCTAGCTATGATGCTCTGGAGTCGATGTTACTTAGTAAAAATTCACTGGAAATAATGCTAGGAAAAGCCAGAAGTTACATGATTTTTTAATAAATGGCGAATGCGCCAGGAATTGATGACACCATAAGAAAAATAATACAAATAAAAGAAGACTTATAAAAATACAGTCAATGAAATACTTTATAGAATCGATGAATAATGTTATGCCTACAATGGAGAACATACATATATATGGGAGTCAAGCTATTATAGAAAAATGAAAGTTAACCATAAACAACATGAAGTAAAGTTCTAAGTAGATGGTATATTTTACCAAACAAATAAAAGCAACCAAAAGAAAAGCAACAAATACAAAAGAAATATTTTAGATATACTTATAAGTCCTGATGCATTGTTGGTAACATTCATGAAGAGGATACATGTACTGCCCTGGAACTGTAGATTTGTTGTAGAAAATCTGTAAAAAAAGAAATAAATAATAATTACATTTCATTAATTATAAGCTATAATAATTGTGTATATTTTTTTGTCATATTAAGATTAAATATATCTTTAAAAAAATGGTTAGTCTGTTAATAAACGTTTAATAAAATTATTTTGAAATACCAAATTAAACTTACTTTTAATCAGATAATCGAAGACCAACTCGTAAACCAGAGTGATGGGCAAACATCAGGATAGGATTATACAAGGGGTGACCCAGGTCTTATCTTTTAGGTGGTCTTTGTTTGCTGTGTGTGGTGTGTATATTATTATTAACGCTCCTAAAAAAGAAAATTACAATTATTAAATATATTAAAACAATGCAAAATTATTAACTTAAATATGACGACAGTGTACAGTATTAAAGGTGCGTGAGAAGTTTTCTTATTTTATCTGAAAGTATATAATTGATGAGAATAGGACCCCTTTATCAAGAACGGTAAACTAATTATTATTATTAATTAGGTTAACTGTACTTGCCCCTTTATATGTATACTAACACTGACTCATTCTAACGTAGAAAATACTTGTTTGTCCGAATAAACACCTAACAAAATCCCTTTAGGAATAAAAAAACAACTTTTAAACCTAAAAACTCCTAAAAAAAGGTCGAAAAAATACCCACATATTTCTAAATATGAAGCAATATACTAAGTAACTTTACTTTTATTGTACAATAGAGACATCAAGGAATGTATCTCTATTTCTATATACCCGATTTTAAAAACGAAAATTATGAAAATTAGAAAAATATAGCTTTTAATGATGTAATTGGAATTTGAAAGTGAAAAAATCTATAGAAAACAGGCAAAATAATGGGTACTTACATTGTCAGGGGAATTAAACAGGCCTTAAGGAACAGAATAAACTCAAATAGTGCACAGAAAATCAGTTTTTCTATCAAAAAATCACAAAAATTGTTAAGAGCGACATAACGCCTCCAACAACGAAAAATGTCACATGTCGACGTTGTCAGATTGAACACATGTAAAACAGAATAGTAATTTTTTGCTGCAAAATACTGGCGTGTCTAAAAGAAAACATGTATTTGTTCTACTGAAACAACGTTTGTATTAAACGTTTATTAGATTTACCATGATTTTGTAACGGTCCAGTTCATTTTAGACTTACAAAAATATTAATTTAGATTCGTTTCCGGATTTAGTTAATATCTTGGCAACCTTGGAAACACTTTAGTTCAAAAATTTCTCACTTTTTCCACATTGTCGCCACCTGCGCTTTTCTTCTTTTGCGTATTTCAGGTCTTAAAAGAACCGTAACCACAGAATGAGTCGGCCTTGTGGTCGAAATGATTGCGCCGCATTCTAGTAGACGCAAGGTCGCCGGTTCGATTCCGGCCTCGGATATGGGTGTTAAATGTGTGTGTGAGTCTGTATTTGTCCGATTTTAAACACTAATTAAATATTAAGAAATAAGCTGGCTGAATGTCGTAATAGACAAGTGGCCAAAATATAGAAAAAAAAAAAAACCACAGAATGACAGTAATGTTATTCTTCATTTTAAAACTCATCGCTCGAAACATGGACAGCCACAGATAGGACATAGTTTTCTACTTCTTTCTTTTTTTAAATAGTTTTTTTACAACAACAAAAATAAACAAGAACAACAAATGTAAATAAGAGTTCAAGACCAGATTTGACTTCTTTGTCTACTGCCGCCTCTTGTCTCGTCTCCTCTTTGCCATTACCGTATAATATTCGCCTAGTTCTAAAAAGAAAACAAATATCAATATATCGATAGTGCCGCACCATTCCTAATATTCCTCTCTCTTTCCCTCTCTCTCTCTCTATATCAAAACTGACAGCTAATCTAACCTCACTTATTTTGAGATGAAATAGCTTGATTGTTATAAACAAATAATGAGTGTAATAAATCAAAAAGAATACCTGAAGAAATATTTAGGCATCGGTAAGAAAGCTGGCGAGAAAAAGAAGAAGAAAAAATCCAAACCAAAACCCACAGGGTATGTTTTTCTTTGCGACTTACACAAATTAGGTAACTCGAACATATTTTTATTTTTTAGCTTTGTAATCGTTGACGATGATATAGATGTACGTTTAAATGAAGAAATAAAAGTAGATCTTAACGGAGATAACGAAGATGCACCTCAAATAGTCTCGGTAATTGACGACAGACCACCTTCTTTAAGAATCGACGAAAAGACCAAAGATAAGTTATGGATACCTTTAGGGGGCTCCGATGATGTTCTTGTTGATTCTGCCAGCTTGAAATTTGACGGTAGTATTAAGATTTCAAAGAAAACCAGTAATAAATTGAAAATTAAAACTGAAAACGAAGATAATTCACCTCCTAGACGAAGAAAAGGCTCTGAGTCACCAGTAAGGATTAAAAGAGAAGTTTTAACACCAGAAAGAGATGATTTTTTATCTGGAGAAGATCAGATAGAAGGTACAGATCTTTCACCTAAAAGAAAACAGAAAAGTAGTGATGATATCTCACCACCAAGAAGGAAAATAAAGGTGGAAGAGTTGTCACCACCTAGGAGACAAGACGATGGTGATATATCTCCACCTAGGAGAAAAAACCTCAATATATAGATGACGATTCTTCACCACCTCGAAGAAAAAACACAGAAAGAAGACATATCTCCACCAAGAAGAAGGAAAAATGAAGATATATCTCCTCCAAGAAGACGAAAAATGTAGATATATCTCCTCCAAGAAGGAGCAGGAATGAGGACATATCTCCTCCAAGAAGGGGGGAAAAATGAAGATATATCTCCTCCAAGAAGAAGGAAACATGAAGATACATCTCCTCCAAGGACATCAAGAGGCTCAAACCGAGATATGTCACCTCTAAGAAGATCCAGGCATGACAATTCACCACCTCATCGAAAAAAAAGAAGTCCAGATGGGGTGAAACTGAAGAACAAGAAGCCAAACTGAAGAAAACCCTAGATGGTAAAACGGCAGGGCTTCAAAATGCAAGAGATTTAGTTAAGGAAACCATAGAACTGAAGAAGAAAGAAGATGAACTGTTTAAAAATATGGGAGCTGAAGTTTCTGGAGCTAATGCAGCGACAGTTGTAAGGACCAAAAAGAAGGATATTGTTGACGTTGAAGAAGAGGAGAGGAAGAGAAAGAGAGAGATAGAAAAACAAGGAAAAATATGATAGATGGGGGTAAAGGTGTGAAGCAGGTTGAAGATGATAATGAGAAAATGAAAATGAACTGCATGAAATGAGTAAGCCTTTGGCAAGGTACGCTGATGATGCTGATTTAGAACAGACTTAAAAGAGCAAGAACGAGAAGGAGATCCGATGTTAAAATACCTGAGACAGAAGAAAAGGAAGAAAACCATAGAATCAGGAATACCTGGTATGTTTTATAATTTTCTAGTTTTTATTTCAGGTATATTTAACAACATGTTTTTTTTTATAGTTAAACAGCAATATGAAGGGGATTCTGCCCCCAATCGTTTTGGGATCAGGCCCGGTTTTAGATGGGACGGCGTAGATCGTTCCAGTGGCTACGAAAAGAAATGGTTTGAAGTGCAGAACTCTAGAACTGCAAGTTTGGAAGAGACGTACAAATGGAGTACCGAGGATATGTAAAATAATTTATATGTACTGTGTAAATATATTTTTTTAAATAAATAAGTGTAATTTAGTGTCGTGTGTCCAAGTTTCTTCTTTTTTTTGAATTTTTAAATGCTGTAGCTCCATATCATGTTCATACTGTTTTATAACATTCCATTAAAATTGTAGAATTAGCAACATTAATAGTTACCTTGTTTAATTCTGCTTATACATATTGTATTAATTTTTCTGCTACCTTAAGATTTTTATATCCTTAGATACACCTAATTTATGTAATTTTCTTAGCATATCTAAAATATAAAAATAAATGATTTATTATATAATTAAGATATTTTAACAGTTATTTTCCACACTACAAATCATAATAATGGAGTATTAAGATTAAGACATAAAAAAAATTACCTTTCTTCACCATATTGTCAAGATTTTATTTTGGCATTACAGGAAAAAAGAAATTACAGTAAATTAAGAAAAGAATAATCATAAATATACCAACACATATCAATATACCAAGTACTGCAATGTATTCTACGACATTAACTACCATCTCCCTTCTAAAGGGTAAAAGATAAAACAAAGATATTTTTTTAGATTTTTAACACCCTGTAGATCACAGAGAGAACTTTAGACCCTATGTTTATATGAGCTTTTTTTTTTTTAAATACATGAGCAATCATACCCCGTTTTTTTTTTTGAATTAGATGTTGAAAACATCCTGTTTACACATAGTGCTTGAAGCTTTCATCGAACAAATTTTGTATCGAAGAGGCAACAAATTCTTGTTTACTCTTGTGTTGTTTTGGGGTTGGAAATTGTTAAAAATCTACAAAAAAACATAATTAATAGGGCACAGAATCTTGTTAAATGTGTTTTTATCGATTTCAAGGCAAAATTAGTGAAATAAAAGCTAAAAATCTTGGCCATTACATTGACTAAGAAAATGTCTTGTAGAAGTTATATATTCTTGTTTTGGGGCTTGGAAATTGATAAAAACTACAAATACATAATTTGTACAGCACAGGATCATGTTAAATGAGTTTTTTATTGATTTCAAAGCAAAGTTAGTGAAATAAAAGCAAAACATCTTGGCCATTACATTGACTAAGAAAATGTCTTGTAGAAGTTATAAATAGGGGTATTACTGCCTTGTTTTATAATTTATAAATGTAATAAGTCTCTATTTAACTAAATATTACATTATTTCGGAAAATATCGAACAACAAAGTTATATTAATTAAAGATTCTGAAGGCTACCGAACCGCCACCATATTTTTTGAATTTTATTTTTAATTTATATGGGTTTAATAGGTCTGAAACTGCTTAATTAACTGCTTATTAACTCTATTTAATGATAATCTATAATTCCTTAACTATTTTAAAGCTTCAAAGTCTTTTTTAAGGCAAAAATCTATTTTTTATGATACTAACAAGTAGGGACATTAGGGTAATTAAAATGCGATATCTTTGTGAATTTTGATTTATTCGTTTATTGTTTGGTGTCATTTTATTCGGAAAACACGTAGCTACATTTCCCTGGTAGTAGTTTTGTCTCCAATGAGGCGTTATATTGCTAAATTTTCATTTAAACTTGAAATTTAGGTCATAAAATTACATAATTTTTCATCGGTAAAACAAAAGAAAAGCGCGAGTTGGCGCTCTCTCTAGCGTCAAAAATCAGAAACCGAGCGCCAAAAACTCAATATTATTGGTCGTTTCGGTGGATTTTTCGCCATTTTTAGACGGGCCTTTGACGATGTAAGGTCTTTTGCCGGCTGCCTGGCAGAATTTTTAAGGAAAAGTGCCTTTTCTTGTATATTGTGCTCGGAAATCATGTGCAGGTCATAGCTGGATTCTTAGAAAAGGTAAGTTCGACTATTTTCCTACGAATTTCCCGATATTTTTCGAAAAATCCGACCATCTAAAGGCGACCGGTAGAAGCGCAAGATCAACAAAAATTCAAAGCCATCTTTTTTTTTTAAACTTTCCGTTTCTTTCTGTTTTGCTTTTGATACATTCTGTTGCTATAAATAGTTCATTTTTTTATGGTACTGTATTAAAATAAATCATTTTCAGACTTAAAAATTTGATGAATATGGTATTTTAGAAATAAACACCTTATATAAGTGAATAAATTATAGTCAATCAATTTTCTGAAGAATATTTCTAATAGTAGTGCACTTGATATGGTTTTTCTTAAAGATATTATATAATAGAAGAATACTTATGTAATAAATCTTTTATAAAATTATCTAAATAGAGTTTAGGAACCTGTAAAACACTGAAAAATTACATCTGCCTGTATTTATACTAAATAACATTTAGAAACTTAATATAAGGTAATAATTAGTACTTAATATTG